AAACGAAACGAAACGTACCTGATGGTTGAAACTATGATTTCATTACAAACAGGGCTACTTCATAAGAGTCTTCAAAATATAATAAGATTATCCCACCCACCACCATTTTATCTCCTATGATGTTCAATGTTATCAAACTTAAATATGACAATACAAAAATTATTTTATGTGCTCGGTAAAGGTTTATAAAAAGCAATGAAATTGAAGTGCATTTCATTGAGAAAATGCACTTCCATAGAGAAAAATTTAGCTATACTAGCTTCAGAGAGCAACAATCCTAAAATGATGAATTAAAATAAATAATTTATTTAAATTACAATTACTTTATTGTAATTTAAATAAATTATTTATTTTAAATAATTTATTTAATTTAATTTATTTAATTTAATTTAAATAATATATACAATTACTTTACATTACTCTAGAATTTAATTTCCATTTTTCTCACCTTCAAAATAGCTTCAAAGAGAAAAACAGTCATACCTCCTGCAGTGTCCCATCTCCTCCTGCAACAATGATCACATCTGTGTTTTCCATAAGTTCCAGGAGTTTCTTGGCTTGTCCTTCATAATCTGTCTGAAATACCAAGGAAGCCTTTGGTAAGTTTATCAGCCTAATGTCACAAGGTTAAAGGTTTAAAAATGTGGGATATCTTTAAAGTTTTACATTGACTCTTAGTAAATTTCACATAATTGACAGACATAAAAAAAAAGCTATCAAAGCAATTATGTACACTTGTTACAGTTTTACATTTTTAGAGCCAGAGGGACCTCAGAAACTATCTAGTCAGCTCCTTACTTTAAAAATAAATTCAAACCCAATAATTTGTCTGTTACACAGCTAGCTAGTCAAAGGCCTCATTTCCAGTCCAGTGCGGATTCTATTACATCGTTTACAGGAAGTCAAGTGTACATGCAAATAGAGAGAAGCAGATGTAATGACAAGAGCACAGATGTCAGAGCCCAAGAGACCTGGATTAAATCTCAACTTTGCTACTTTTTAGCTGAGTGACCTTAAACTCTATGGATCTTAATTTCCTCATCACTGAAATTATGTGTGTTGAGGGAGGGAATCATGATAGCTTCTCTGTAAAACAGCTGTAAAGCAGCTGGTAAGGTAACTGTTCATAACTGGTATTGCACTAAATACAAGGAGGTTATTATTGTTTTGTTATGACTATACATAAAGAAATACAGGTATGATTCGAAGCAGTCACAAAACAATGCCTAAGCCTTACCATTTTTATTGACATCATTTGATCTCAGAAACATACAGATTAAATGAACCACTTAAGCCACCAATAATATGTAAAACCAAACACTAAATTTCAATAGACATAATGCAACTAACACTAAAATAGAAAACACTCCCTCCAATTGATATCACACTAGATATACTAATGGACAAAAATTAAATGTCTGGATTTCAGATGGGGTGAAGCCCTGCGGCATAGTAAAAAATGTATATCTGGGCTGGGTGCGGTGGCCCACGCCTGTAATCCCAGCACTTTGGGAGGCCAAGGTAAGCGGATCAAGAGGTTAAGAGTTCGAGACCAGCCTGGCCAACATGGTGAAACCCCATCTCTACTAAAAATAAAAAAATTAGCCAGGCTTGGTGGTGCATGCCTGTAATCCCAGCTACTCAGGAGGCTAAAGCCAGAGAATCACTTGAACTTAGGAGGTGGAGGTTGCAGTGACCTCAGATAAGACCACTGTACTCCATCCTGGGGGACAAAGCAAGATTCTGTCTCAGGAAAAAAAATAGACAGACAGACAGAGTCTTTGTCCTTGGTTCCTGGCACAGAGCTAAAATCCCTTGAATTTCCTGAGTGATAAAAATGTCTTTCATTATTCAAGGCAAGCCCCTCTCAATCTTAACAGAGTTTGTGCTGATAGGTGACTGGTGGGCCCCTGGATAGCTTCAAGATGGGAGCTGGTCATCAGAAGGGCCAGCAAAGTGATTAGAGGGTTGGAACTTTTAGCCCTACCCTTAACCTCCAGGGAAGAGCGAGAGGCCTGAGATTGAGATTACTCACCAATGGCCAATAATTTATTCAATCTTGCCTGCTTAATGGAACCTTCCTAAGTAAGGGAGTGTGGGGAGCTTCCAGGCTGGAAGCAAACACCTCAACACTGAAGTGTTGAAAGGAGGCACACCTACAGAGGAAGGGCATGGAAGCTCTGTGCCAATCCCTCTGCTCCCATACTTTGTCCTATGTATCTTTCCATTTGCTATTCCTGAGTAGTATCCTTTACAATATACTGGTAAACATAAGTGCTTTCCTGAGTTTGAGTTATTGAACCTGAGGAGGGAGTTGAGGAACCTTTGATTTGTAGCTAGCAGTTCAGAAGAACCGGTGACCATTTCCCTGGCATATGAGACTGGTGCCTGAAGTGTAGACAGTCTTGTGAAACTGAGCCCTTAACCCATGGAGTCTGCACTAACTCCACGTGTTGGAGTTGAGTTGAGCTGAGTTGAACTGAATTGACCAGAATTGAATTGCTGGACATCCAGCTACTGCGAGGAAAGACTCCAGCACCTGAGCCAGTAAGTCCTACATGACATTAATTTACAGTTAACACAGAGGAAAAGAGGAAGCCTCCCTAAAATACTACCATCTAATTTTATGACGAATAGTTCCACTTTTATTCTAAAATTATTGGGCTTTATAGTTATATATTTGCAAATATTTGACTTTTAAAAAAATGTATATAGGTCAATCTGATTAAAAGGATGGTTTGTGAACACCCAGAAATAAGTGGTCATTAGGAATCAGGCTGTGTTCTCACTAAGGCCAAGTGATTTCATACTGTCCTCATTTCCTTCTTTGACAGATCAGCTACATCAGTAGATCTTGGAAATTAGACAGGCATATTACATTTGGTTTTTAGCAAGACTCCTGGCAAGTCACTTGATGATCTCCCTGTGGACAGGTGAAGAAATGTGGAAACAACATGGTAGAATACAAGTGGAAGAGCTACCAATTCAATATCTGTGTCCAAAATGTGATGCTCATTGGAATGATGTCAGATTGCTAGAAGATTCCAAAGACATTTCATTAAGGCTCCCCCTTCAGCTGTTTCTTAGGCAATACTTTATCAACAATGGAAGTGAAAGGTAATTTACTAGATATACAAATGATACAAAGCTGACATTTGCCCTTCCTTACTTCTCTAATCTCATCCTCTCTTACTCTCACCCTTTGCTCATTTCACTCCAATCACGCTGGCCTCTTTATCATGCTTTAAATACGTCAAGTACACACATGCCTTGGGGCCTTTGGACATGCAGTATCACAGCTCGTGATACTGTGATACTCCTTCCTCAAGCATCTCCATGACTAATTCATTTCCTTTGGGTGTCTGTTTGAAGTCCATCTTGTCAGACTTGCCTTCCTTGACCATCTGCACTAAAATAACACCCCTATTAGTCTTTTGTACCTTGCTTAGTCTTTCTTCTTAGCACTCATCACCATCTGACAAATTATATGTTTATTTGTATATTTGTTTCTCACCTGCATTCTTGCTTTCCAGCCTTGAAATGTACATCTTTAAGGACAGATGGGGAGTTTATTTTGTTCAGACTATATCCCCAATACCTACAACAAGGCTTAGCTCATAGTAGGAACTAAAAAATGTTTGCAAAAACAAATTAATAAATGTAAATAGGTACATGAATAAAAGAATCAAAGTTTTAAAAGATCTTGACAGATCTGACAGACCATAATTTAAAATATTAATAGAGATCATATTAATATATTTGAGGCTCCGATCTTAGGAAAAAAAATCCCAAATGCACCAAAAAAGCAAGGATAAAAATAGTGACCTAACAATTACCCACCTCCCAGAAAAAGAATCCAGACACTAACATTACACCTTTTACAAAAACTAACTCAAAATGGATCACAGGCCTAAAGGTACAATGGAAAACTATAAAATGTCTAGAAGATAACATAGGAGAGAATTTAAGTGATCTTGGGTTTGGTGATTGAGTTTTTAGATACATCACCAAAAGCATGATCCATGAAAGAAAAAAAAAATTGATAAAATGAAATTCAGTAAAATTTAAAACTTCTGCTATATAAAAAAACACTATTGTAAGAATCAAAGGACAAGCCACAGCCTGAGAGAGAATATATGCAAAATGCATAGCAAACAACTTGCATCTAAAATATACAAACAACTCTTAGAACTCAACAAAAAAAACCCAGCCCAATTAAAAGGGCAAAGATCTGAACAGACACCTCATCAAAGATCTACAGATGGATAATAAGCATATGGAAATATACTCAACATTACATGTCATTAGAGAATTTGCAAATTAAAACAATGAGATATCATTATACATTTATTTCAATGGCTAAAATCCAAAACACTAACAATGACAAAGACTGACGAGGATATGGAACAAAACAGGAACTCTAGTTCACTCGTGGTAATAATACAAAATGGTACAGCCACACTCTGTAGCAGTTTCTTACAAAACCATAGTCTTACCATATTAGCCAGCAATAGCACTCCTAGGCATTTACCCAAATGAGTGGAAACCTTATTTTGTCCACCCAAGAACCTGCACATTAATGTTTATAGCAACTTTATTCACAGCTGCTAAAACTGGAAGCAACCAAGATGTATTTCAGTAGGTGAATGGATAAACTGCAGTACATTCAGACTAATAGACTATTATTCAGCAAAGAAATGAGCTAACAAGCCATTAAAACATGGAGATATCTAAACTGCATATTGCTAAGTGAAATAAGCCAATCTGAAAAGGCTATCTACTGTATGATTCCAATGATGTGACATTTAAAAATTAGCAAAAGTATGGTGACCGTAAAAACATCAGCCCTGGAGAGAAGGATGAATAGGTAGAGCAGAAGAGCAGCGAGGATTTTTAGGGCAGTGAAATTTATCTGCCTGATAATATAATGGTGAACACAATGCATTATGCATTTGTCAAAACCCACAGAACTGTGCAACACAAAGAGCAAATGGAAATGAAAACTATGGACTTGAGTTAATAATAATGCATCAATAATGGTTCATCAATTGTAGGAAAGGTACCACACTAATATGAGATGTTAATAATATGGGAAATTGTGGGCAGGGGAAAGAAGGAATATAGGTACTCTGTGATTTCTGCTGCATTCTTCCTTCATCCTAAAACTGCTCTAAAAAATAAAGTTCACTTTTTAATAAAGTGGCCTGATGGTACGCAGCAAACAAGATAATGAGTTCCATATGACTCAAAAGCATGATATATCGACAACAACAAAAGGGTCTGAGCTTGAGCTGTTTGAAAGAATGGTGATCTTGCTTTACTCTTCCTTAGATAGCCCATACCTCATTTCTGGGCACTACTGGAGAATATTTAAGGGAACAATCAGGAAGCTGATAGATTTGAAACCATTACCCAAGTGAAGAAATTGGAAATGTTTAAATCACAGAAGGCTCAAGGGAGGGTCAGGATAACATTTTGCAGAAGACTATTTTGCAGAAGAAAGATTAAGCTTGTTTCACATGAACCCACGGGATAGAACCAAACCTGAAGTCAATGATTCTCAATCCAACTACACA